TGTAAGTGCAGAAGGCAGATGCATTATGCATACGGAAGAACATGCCATGGAAAGATAACGACCAATGCTCTTCAATCTATGAATATGTATATATATTTCATTGAGTTGTAATTTCATAGTGACGAGTGAGGAGGACCACATCTGCTTCAATTTTCGGGGCCCACCCGTACTCAAGCTAACATGTTTCTGCTCGCTGTAGGCCATATCTGTATGTTCTTGGTTCTTGTTTTTTGTCTTAATATCTTGGTTGGTTTTAATTTGATTACATACGTACAGAGAGAGAGCTTGAATTGATAGATATATCAAATAAATTTATTAAGAGAGACATCTTTGTAACACATACTTCCTATTGTATTTCGGGGATCCCATCGTCAAATTTTCAAGTCTTAATTCATAAATCATTTCTGTAAACGATAATTACTCAAATCAGAAAATACTCACCATTGGATTAATAGACAACCATTTTAGCGTTTCTTGAAAAAAATTGTGTTAGTCTATTTAATTATTTTATCATAATTAACTATTTACGATTCGTCCAATTTTTTTCAAGAATAATCTATGAATAAATACTTGATAAAATAAGAGCATATGATAAACTAATAATCATAGAAGCAACTTTGAATGTACAAAAGTCAAATGTGATGAGATCAGCAGAAATTAATAGCCATAAAGTTAGCAAAATATTAATTGACTCGCTCGATCATATATTAATATAAAAAAATTTATTGTATTATATATAGGTATAAATATATGTATATGCCATGACATTTTTTTTTTACCATGGCATTGGCAATGTAACAGTACTGAACTCGATCCCTAACTACAGAAGAACAAAAATTGTAAAACGAAATTAACTAACAAGAAGTTAAAATGCCTTTGTAATTAGCATCCAATTAAGACCGTGAGAAAACTTCAAATCCTGAAAAATCAAAGGAGCTCCAATTATCACTACAAAGATTGGTGGAGATCTTCATTTGATCATCATCGGACGGTAGTGAATAGTCCAGCTCTTGCAGATGCACCATGGGCTGCCATGAAAAACTAGCAGTGCTACTCGTCAAAGACGACGTCGTTGCTGCATCATCGGACCAAAACACATCTTGCACCACTTGGTCATCCTCCCCTAGCAAACCCTGTAACCCAAATTGATGAATATTCATATCATCTTGTTGATCATGATTAATTCCCATAAAACTCTGAACATTTTCTTCTTGTATTTGTTGATGTTGATGATCATGATGATCATAATGATCAGGAGCTACTAGGCCTCCAAGCAAGTGATCAACGGCTTCAACAAGATCTTGATCAGCCTTTGAAGAATTTT